TAAATTATTTATATATTAATTAATAATATACTATTATATAACTAATAAGTAACTATTAAGGCTATTTAACACTCGGTTAAAGTAAAAGAAAATAATTATAAGGTAATTAAGGAACCCCGCCTACCTATAACGCGATTAATAACGTTACGTAGAATAGAAGCTTTAGAACTATATTTCTTATATCTCGTATAACTAGAAAATAGGATAAGCTTTAGTTATTATAACACAGCTACCCCTACTTTAGCTACCTGACTTCTAGTCCCTCTTATAGTCTTACAATATTACTAAGATATAGGATTATTATAGATATAGTTTACTATTATACTCTATTAAGCTATACTACGACCACGCTCTATAGAGCACGAGTTTACTATTATGCTTAAATAAGCTATACTACGACCACGCTCTATAGAGCACGAGTTTACTATTATGCTTAAATAAGCTATACTACGACCACGCTCTATAGAGCACGACTAGAACGCTCTATTCTAGCAAATAGGCTAAGTCGTGCTCTCATATTATCCCATAGTAGAGTTGATAAATATATATTAAACTGAATCTTGTCCCCCAACCCACGTCCCTGCCAGGCTCACACGCTTCATGCCAAGATGTGAGCGCATAATGCAATTCTCACTTGGGCGGTTAACCTATTGTTATGTAAGCATGTTGTGGGGGAGAGTGTCGCATAGGATATAAGAGTGTGTAACACACAACATACTGTGGCGTGGCCACGCCCGTTTTTTGTGTGACAGAGAGGGGTTCCGCAGCTAAAGATATAAGCTTTCTGAAAGAGTCAATACAATTTAATCTGCAGAGTCAATGCAGAAAAATAAATTACCCTTGCCGCCTCATAGTCTGATACGATGGTCCAATCGGTTCTTGCCAAGCTTCACTCGGCTATTATGCATGAGCCCACCCCCTTTAAACTTTCTTGTCTTGGCTATTGAGGCTGTACAGGCCGGAAATTTCGGAAACTGTAGGCTGGGGCTTGTTACACGTGAAACCGTACGAAAAACCGTGGCATTACCAGGAACCCACTACGGTGCAAAAGCCTTGCAAGGTGCTCGGCTTTGAATAGCATTCCCGGTCGGTCGGGGTCGCTTGTCCGGGGTCCTCGCCATGTACCTTTTTCTGCGTCGTATGATCCAGAGGCAACTTGAATGCAGCAGCGACAAAACCGAGTCATTTGAGAATGTGCCATAGTATGAGACGGCTCGTCTGGAACTGCTTTCCGAGAAATTCATCAATCTAGACAAAAATAAATTGACACATAGAATGAATTCACTAATGCTAGAAACAAAGTGTTGCCAACCTCCTTGCTACATGTATTGTCGCATCTAAATCAAACTGTAAAGAGATACTAGTGGTTTTGCGCTAGTCGACTACAAACTCTGGCCGCATGGCTATTTGATGGGTTCTTTCCTCAGACTGCTTCCTGCATCAACCTTCTCTGCCAAGCCATGAATCGTAAGCTCGCCCAAAATGTCCTTTGTGTTAACTGTGGCGCCAAGCTCCCTCTTAAGCCATGACTCCATATCAACAGTAACAAGAGAGTCAACGCCAAAGGAGCTCAAGGTTCGATGCGTTTCCATATGTTTTGGCGAGATAACCATGATCCTGGAGATCTTGGCGATGATAGAACAGAGACTAAATCCACTGCCTCTGCTGTGGAAGCTGCACCGATCAGTCCTTGCGCGATGGATAATGTCACCTCTGATTCCTTGGCTTTTCCTTGTCGTCTAGAAGCGCGCAGGTGAGTAAACAATGGGTACGACTTGAAAGCGGGCAGCGGGACAGAGTTCCGCTGAAAGTCGCTCGCAGATCGAAGGCCAGCAATTGTGTGACAGTTGTCACTGTTCTCCGCAGCGCCCCATCGTGGATCCATGTGATATAGAGAGGAGACGGTCTTCTGTTATGGTTCCGTATGCAAGAGCGATGGGAAGTCGGTCTTGGTTTTCAGCAACCAGCCAAATGAACGAACATTTCCGAGACTGATAGATGTCGTCGGCCGCCCCTGCGAGGTGAGGTTTCTCGCAAACGTATTTAGGAATACGTTTGCGGCAGCGTAGTTGGCTTGCTCACGGTTCCTGATAATGGCGGACGAGGATGAAAGCAAGACGAAAAAGTCCAAGTCTTTGGGAAGATTATTGGCAATATTGATTGTTCCTTGTACCTTGGGTCTAATGGCGGCCATGAATTGGCTGTGTGACATGTTACAGATCATGAAATCCTAAACCACGTCAGAAAAACGTTAACAATAACCTGAGGAGGTGGTAACATGACACGATTAGCACCATGGAACATTGAACGCAGCCCTTAATAGGAGGCATTGTGTCGCGACACTTCTCCATGGTCTTGTTGACCGATTCCGTGTCAGCTGCATCGCTTATAATACTTTCCACCGCAACCAGAAGATTTCAATGTTTCACAGAGCCCTCGGTCCCTAGGATCGGTCGGTCCCGATCTGGATGGGAATATGAAGTTCCTTGCTCCGCGGGAGTGCATCCAAAGCGCCACTCTTCTTCCAATCCCCCCGAAGCCCCCGACGAGGAGGTAGGATGCCTCTCCATTGAGAGTATAATTACCGATTGGCTGAAGACAAATCTATGGCTGCTAGGACCCGGTCATGTGTTTCAACGTGTACGAGAAACACTTACGGGGACCAGTTCATCATCTTGAGGCTGGAAAGCAAACATGGAGGGATTTTTTGACTCTCTATCGCGAAACCGGAGGACAGCTTTTGGAAGTTTCGAGAATCCTAATACGTCAACATCTCTTAGGGGTTTGACTAGAGAGGAAGAGAGCCGACGCCAGGTGTCTAGAAGTGCCTCTTGGATGAGTTTGGGCCGGGACTGTGCTACTGCATCCATGTCGACGGATGTATAAGAAATACTTCCCTTGGCAAGGTCATTCAAAGAGAGAATATCAGCGGTAGACGCGCCATGGGGATCGACGACGCGACAAAGGGGGGTTGCATGTGATTGGTACACGTCGAAGATACCTGCCGGATCACAGTTCAGATATATGTCAATTCCTCCACTGCAATTTGAAGAAAGGATAGCCTCCACGTCCGATGGCACTTGGTCATTCGAGAAGACAACTGCCTGGTTGAGGTTATATCGAGACGCCAGAGCGAGCTTTTCCCCGTTTGAAGACGCGGTACATAGCAGGTTGGCGCCGACGGACATGGCGAGTTGAATAGCCGTTTGCCCGATGGGGTTGTCTGCGCACTGGATCATGATGGTTTCACCCGGTTGCACATGGGCCAATTTGACAATGCAGTAATAGGCGGTGCAGAAGCTCCAGGGGACTGTTGCAGCCTCGAGATATTCGATCTCGTCTGGGATCTTCTGGACTGCGCTGCAATGGGCGCGGAAAAGACTTGACAGAGAGCCGCTCGATCGAATGTTCCTCACGGCCATGACCCGATCGACAACAGAAAGGTCTGTTACGGATGACCCAATTTCAGTCACAACACCAACACAATCTCGGCCTATGCCTTGCCCGGGTATCAGACGACTAGCTTCAACGAGGTCTTCTCGTCTGACGCCAGCGGCATGTACTTTCAGCTGAACTTCATCATGGCCCAAGGGGCTCTCCACCAGTTCGTCACGAATGAAATGGAATGCCTGCGGTTTATGAGGGTCAATTGAAGTAAGCTTGATCCCTTCGGAGATGGCACCAAACTTGACAGATTTATTGTTCGGTTCCGATCTCCTATCAACAGCCTTGTTGATTTTCTTGGCAGGTAGAAGCCTGTTTGTCAAGAGTACTCCATCCTTCATGGCGTATTCACCGTACGCAGGTATCACACCCTTAGAGATGAAGGCTTGCCGAGCCACACGAGCAACTTGTTCCGAAATGACAGAGTGGGGAGGTAATGAATTGCATATCCCAAGCTTGATGAAGTTGACTGTATCCTGATCGCGCTCCCATCTGGCACTTCGGATTAAACCACGACACATTGCCGCCTTCGACTCGTCTGCCGGATTGCCCGAGACCCATATCATGTTTATGCAAGTTCCGAGTACCAACTTGACCTGTTGGAAGTCGGGGTCCTTTTTATCCGAAATCAAATCCCTGCAAGTTCACCAGAGATACACAAAAGTCTGCGCCAAGTGCACCGGCATCCGCCTCACTTAGGCTTACCAACGAACAGTCGCATTCAAGAACGTTGGCCAGCGTTGAGGCACACTCTCCAGCAAGCTGTAGCTGCGAGATGTAGTCGGCATGGTAGGTGATTGCGCATTTGTAGCGATGCTCAGATGTTTTGTCAAGACCCTGCTGTGAAGATGCAATGGTCGCCGACGTCTCGTGGCTGGCGGCCTCGTCTGTGTCTTGTATGTGCAGCCTCAACTTGAAACCAGCTTGCTCCAGTTCCACTTCCCCTTGATTTTGGTCTACAAGAGTGTTTGATTGACGATAGGACTCGATGCCGCGCCACCATCCCGGCAGTACACCAAACGCCAGCGGCGTGCACATCAGTTGCGGCTTGACATTTTCGATTACGATAAGTTCTCCTCCACTAATCACGCCGCTAGGCACCAGACCATGTGTCGCTAGATAGTTTGTGTTAAGAGACTAGGCTTACCTCTTTAAGAGACTTCTTCTGTTTTTCAAGCTCACTTAAAGATTAGCCGTGGCATGTAAGACCTGACAGTTTGTGTCAGTAATGCTTTTGCGCAGAGGGAGGGCAGCAATGATTGGGATCAGAACCACCTACATGAGTCGCAATAATAAGGTCATAAGATGCGAGTTCGAATCCTTGGAGTGCTGGATCCTTTTCGACGTCAAAGGTCTGGTAGCGCAGAACGTCGGACCAGTCGGAAAAGCGAGATTTTGCGCGTTCAAAGAATGCGCCAGACATGTCAGTGAAGTTGTACGTATCAATAGGAAAAATGCCGCTCGCGGGATCTTGTCCACCGGAATTCCTGAACGCATCAAGGACAACCTTCGTTGCGCTGCCCGTACCCGCACCGACTTCGAGAATCTTCATGCGAGACTGGTCGTGCGACAAGTACTCGGGTAGCAACGTCTCCGGGTAGGCCTTCGTCGCATGTTGTACTCATTATATCGTCACTCCCAAACATGAGTTCCAAGGCGTCGACTTCTGGTGTCAAAATAGGTACAATATTGGTCCCAACTCGAGTAAGAAGCTCTTCCCGGGCACTTTGCCTGGCTACCCCATCGAATAAGACCTGCTTGAGCTCATCATTCGCACGAGCCTGCTCCAATGCCGTGAGGTCGGCAAAAGGAGCTCGGCCTTGAGTAATGATTTCGGCTTGCGCCTTGATCCAGTCAACGAATGACCGCGGATGCAAAGGCAGGCCGGCTTCGTTCAATCCGGAGGTTTTCTGCAGCGAGTCTACCAATACGGAAGATGTGAGTCGAAGTCCTTCGTGGTCCTCTCTTGTAAATGCTTTGACTAAGCTGGCAGACAGCTCCTGAGAGCTGCTGACCTTTTCAAAAGATGTAAGCATTTTCGCGTCTGGCTTCCATGCTTCAACATAGAAAGACTCGTCGGCAGCCTGTCCATCCTCCTGTGGAGGCAGAAGAACCAGATCGAGTCCCTTGATTAGGAGATTTTGTTCCAACTACCCTTGATCAAATATCGCAACGTCTGATCTATAAGTAATTGGTGTTTTCCTCTCCGCCTCGGCAAAGGTTTTGAACTGGCGGCTGGTAGCTCTCTCGTTGAGGGGGTTTGCAATCCAAACATGCTCCAATCAATTAGCAACCATTGAGCCATTCACTATGGAGCCTTCCGGGCTTCCGAGGCACAGAAGACCTTGTAAGATGCTTTTGAGAGCACAGGGGTGAATAGCGTATCGGTCATGAGCTGTCCTAGGTATATCTGGCGATAAGACATGCGACATGTGAGCCATCCGATCTTGAGACAGGCGAAATTCGCTCATTCCCTTTAAGAAATCTCCAAAGTTCATTCCTGCAGACGAAAAGCTTTGATATAACTTCTCCGGCTCAACTGTCCGAGTGAAATACCGGTTTTCCGCTTCAGTTGAGGCGGTTGCAGCTCGCATCGTCGCCGAGAATAGTTGTCCGGAAGGCGATGCCTTTCCCTTTCTACCCGGATGGATCCCACGTAGTGTTCTGTCCAACTATTTCCGTCGAGATTATGGGAAATGGAGCGGAATCTTGACCATCCACCGGATAGTTCAGTTGCTTCGTGTAACTGGGACAGAGAAAATATTGTTTCGACTCCCACTGCCTCATCGGGAACGAACAATGACTCCCGGATCGAGACATTTCGCAGTTCCACACTCCCAGCATCACTTGCTTTATGGGCCAAGTTTTTGAATGTTTATAAAGAAGGAAAAATCTTGGCCGAGAGAGCAAATAAACAAACATGAATGAAGGGATTTATGTTAACATTGGCTTCTGGCAGGTAATCTCTCGGAATTTTGTTTCCCAAGGCAAAGAAGGTACATTCGAATATTCGCACAGTTCTCAAGACAACTTCATGATTTGTAAACTATAAAAACTTCATATAAGGTAACTATGCCGTATTTGTTTCATGGCCCTTGTGATTCATATGGTAGTATTACTAGGATCGGCAAGGCATTTCATATGGAAGAAGTCGCTGGCGTAGTCTGCTAGGCTTATATTGAGAGTACATAGCGTGATCGCACCCCACAGCTTGAGACTAACCCATACAAGAACTAAATAGCTGTGAGTTCGTGAAATATACTCATTAGCTCTTTAGGGATAAATTTAATAAAACTTATTGTTATGAATATGTGGTGGATCCCGGCGACTTGACCACATGCTTCGTCCGCACCGCCAATTAAGTATAGTTGAACTCTCATACACTTTATAATGCCACAGTTAATCTACAGGTGCTTGCAGGTAAACTTTGACTTAATCGAAGGCCAAGACTGGTCTGGCAGGGCGTGCTGAGTATCTACCAAGCGTGCCTCAACACGGAGAGCCACTTGCCAACTATAGAGAACCTGACATATTACCTTCCAAATAGAATTCGATAATAGCGTCGCTATATTTACGACGTATTCTTACTAGCAGTTGTTCGAAGTAGATGAGAGCACTGGCTCCGCAAGTTATTGCTTCTAGGATTCTTGCCTTTCTCAGTGCAGGACTTAATTCGATTACGTAGTCAATCACAAATAGACTTAGCTATCCGTTCTAGGACCCTTGCTTAAGACCAGTCAAAAAAAAGGAGTTATCACTTGCCGTGAATGTTGCGTCTCATTTGCCGCAACATCATCGGAAATCAGCCCATGATGACCCACGGTGCTGCCAACTTGCTCCGCACCTCCATTTATATATCAGGGCACCGCTACTATAGCGATGTCATATCTACCCCAAATAGGAGTGGATTGAATTAGTGACTAACCTGCCATGTAGTAAATACAAGTATGGAAAGAACTACGAAGCTGAGCTGCACGGGGCCGATCATAGTATTATTATGACAAAGGCTTAGTAGAGGGCTTGGAGTCAATAGTTCAATTCGTCTGGTAATAGTCTTTGGGTATTAAAGGTCCTTGGCTCTTCTCAAAGCCTCTGTCACCGATCGGCCTCATTTATACAAAACGGGGTGAGCCTCGTGCCATAGGGTCTCGTGATCCTAGCCCTTGTGTAACATCCATGTGACAGTGATGCAGCATGCTAAGATGATATAATAAGCCGAAGTGGATCGAAGTCCATGTGCAGAATACGAGGTTTCCTTTTCTTTCATACCCTTTAATCCAAGTAACACACGTTTCTGTCCAAGATGCTTTCTGGCTGTATCTTTCTCTTATCCTGGGCCTTCCCCGCCACGGCCGAACCAGCTCCAGAACGGCCCAGTTGTTCGCCCACCTTGATTCCCGATGGTTTGACCGACAAGCCGTCGAACAATGGCGGCGCTCCGTTAATTCTGAAGCCATCTTGTAGTAAGCTGAACACTTCAAGCCACGCCGTCTTCCTGCGCGGCAAGCCTGGCGTTTCGCCTTTCGCCGAATTCGGTGCTCTAGTTAATGATACAACTATTACACCAGAGGGGATTACAATCAACGGCCTCAACGATGGACATAACGCCTTTACTGTGGTTGCTACTGATAGACACGGCCAGATCCTCATGGGTAATTTCATGTTGCCGGTCGGGGGAAATAATACACCGCATTCGGTCGTCGAGGAGTACGAGGGCATCTTGTCCCGCACCAACCCATCACCTTGCACAAAATGCAGTGGTTGCGGCGCCTGCCCTGCAAGTCCAATGTGCCAGCCAAGCTGTCAGAACCCTGACTTCGGATCGTGCGATTTCTACACAACTTGTGCTGAAGCCAGCCTTCACTGCGGGCCCTCGGGTTATCCTATTCGATATGGCGACAAGATTTGTAATCACTTTAAATCTCGTATGGGCGCCTTCTCAGATCAAGGCCAGAGGTGGATCAATACCACCATGAGCTGCCTGCAGAAAGCCTTGATCGGACCGTTGACGGATTGCGGTGCAACCTGCGATGGAATAACGGCGGCAGCCTTCGATTCTCATGCGCCATGCTACGTTAATAGTGGCGTTTGTGACTTGCCGCTGGGCGACTTGCTTCAGCTTGTCATCACCTTAAATACAGACCTCTTCGTTGGCCCGGCCATGCAACAGATCTTGAGTACGGTGAAGGGCTGCGCGGCTCATTTTATCGGTGGAATAGAGGCGGGGGTTTTGGAGTTGAAGCAACCAATCATCAAGGACAAACGTTACGCACAGGACCATCTTGCTAAAGTTGTTATACTTGAAGGCGTAAAGAAGCAATTACTAAAGTAAGGCCAAAGGCGTACGAGATGGCCGCAGCTGGTAGTTTCATTAAATGTTATGCCAAGAGCCTCTCGCCCATTCTATCGGATCAGGCTAGAATACATATCGTCGAAATTGACGCAGCTGAATAGATCGCAAGCCACCCTGATTAAACTTTTATTACTGTTCAGTAGTAGTTACTACCTAGGTACCTCGTCTCACACTTTACGAATAGTATTCCTGCCTCATTAACTACTGTTGTGATAGTGACTCTGATTTGACTCGGCATAAATAACACAACGTTCAACTCAACGTTGGGCCATGCCTAAAGCACACTTTAAGTATTGGGCTGGCTTCCATTACATGATAGAGGGAAGTGAAACATGCAAGAAAGTCGAACTCAATCTTATTGTTACCAACTTTATTTATTAAAAGGCAGGCAATCAAAGTATACGGCATAGGATCCACGTTAATACGCAATACACGTTTCTTCTATTATGGGCTAGTAACAACTGCACCCAATCCGATTCGCGAAAGGCTTAGTCTCGCAGGATCGAACCTGCAAGACTCTGTGTTGCTGACAGCATGAGTTTACGGTATTGAATAACGGAACACCTGCTTTCATTGTTCTTACTAGTAGTCGTCAGTAGAGGTGGTCTGTTGAGTTGACCATAAATACTGAGTTGTATTGCCGTTAACTGTGATGACACCAATTATCAACTCGCTCATCTACGCATTGTATCTCAATTCTAGCCTCTCAGAAATCGGCAACCCTGTCACAAGCTAAACGAACCATACTAAACATCATGAAGAACGCCTCGTTGCTTGTATTGGCAAGCACCGTCGCACTAGCTGCACCAATGGACGCTCGCCAATAAGTGCAAAAGACGCCGGTATAGGACCTACGAGGTTACATAGATTGAACACATGACCCGCTAGGAGCCTTAGGCACAGCTGTTTCTTCATGTATATGTAATGGTCACCAATCCCTTCCTTTCCCTTGGCAATCAAGGACTTTTGACGTCCTACAAGATTATTATTGAACAGAGTCATTTTTCTCCAAGCCCTTGATATCAAGCCTTTGTCACACCAAGGGCCAGGATGGTATTGATGATGCCCTCGAGGGCAAATATCATGCGCCAGTCGATCAAGCTGCCAAAGTGGTCAAGCCTCAGAATCGCACTCGCCAAAAGACCACCGAATGCGCCAGCCAAGAGGGGCATGACCGGGAATAATGACAGGCAGTAGGTCAACTCGGCGCGCTTGTAGAATGTGAGACAAAATATGAGATTTCTGGCAGCAGGTCAGCTTCAAAGACACGTAGAAGAAAGCCAACTCCGCACCAGGCCACTCGAGACTGGACAAACTCGGTGGCCACACTGCAAACTCCCAAGAGCAAAGACGCAGCTGGAATGAGCGACCCGGGCCCGATTATCCTGTATATCGCGACGGCTGGAAGCTCGAAGACGATGTAGGAGATGTGAACCATGAGGCTTTACGGAACGGCCCCCAACGCCAATAACCGTAGCTCTATTGTTTCTGATAGAAATAGCACATGACTGTCCCAGAATGGATGTGAACTAGAATCCTGGAATTACTTGCGTAGAATATTGATAGCTCTTCTTCTTTTTTCTCGCCCTTTTTTTTTCTCGAAACAGACTCAGAGTCCAACGGAGTGTTCGAGAGTGCCTTGAATGAGACAGTTGTAGTCTGTGAAAAGATTTGGCAAGTACGTCTAATTGCCCTGAAAGTGCAAGAGTTTAGAAGATGAAGAAGGTTTGGGATCATTTACCTAGTCTCTGCAGGATGAAAGAGGGACGTCAAAGGATTTAACATCAGCCTATACACGTCATAATCGTGCATCCAGTTGCACATTCAATTCAACACCTATTTGCGAATGCAAACAGGGTGCTTGGTTAAAATACAAGCACCCCGGTTAAAATAAAACTATACCTTGAAGCAAGTATAGCACACTAATACGGTCTCGTATAAAATTTGCGGTTGTTTTACTCCTTTATGCCAAGGATATATTTACCAAGATGCTATAAGGGCTCTGAGGGACAGAGTTCCGTCCGCTGGTGGAAACGAGCAAGAGGTAGTACCACATTTTCAAGAGCCTCCTCTAAAGATACCAGCAGCAAAACACAAATTAGACACAGTATCCGAGTGCGAAGAGTGAAAATTCCATTCATCCCATTGCCAAGTTATCGTTATCCACAGCGGACCTCTACCCCTTTACCTCAATCCAACTCCATCATTGTGGCCTTTCTAACGCCAAACTTCCTGGAGATTGTCAGCCAGCCAGCTGTATAACAGACGATGCGAAACGAAGCCGCGTTGGTATTCTCCCCAAAAGCTGCGTCCAATGCCCTTTCAACGACGCCGTAATCGACGAAACCTAGGTTCTCGACGGCTTTTCTCGTCAACAAGCCACTGAACATATTGTGCAACGGGCCGTCCTTGGGCCAGTCAGTCGGTGCCCAAAAGGTAACCTTTTTGCGGTTGTACAGCTCGTCGGTAATATAGGGACGAGCCGCCTCACGAAGAATCCATTTCTCCGTCTAGCCTGTATGGACCAAATATCATGCAAAGCTCATGTGATTAGTAGAAGGGAAAAAAAAGAGAGAGAGAAAAGAAGGCAATAAGGAAAATACTTTCAAGTTTTGCATTGGTAGGGTAGTATTACCATAATAGGCGAAATGCGCGTTGCAGGGTTGGTTGTAGGAGTCTACCAATGAGGTTATTCCAGTAGGGGAACAAGCTGAGATGCCGCTGGACCTTGACAGATAAGCGTCATGCGGACTGCTGTCGACCCCAGCCGACTCGTGAACTCCTAGATCCCGGATTCTTCGGCTCCCTGACAACGAACAACGAATAGCCTCCAGGTCAAGGTTGGGAGAACTAAGGGAGTGCGGAGGTCGGATAGGGGGGTTAGGGCTGACTAGCCGTCGACACGGTCGCCACTCTGCTGAATCAGATATCACAGATCAATGAGTCGGTGTCATCAGCTCAGATCTACGACCGGATCTGCTGGGATTGAACTGAGGGCGATCGTAAATCCCACTCGGCTCATGCGAGAGCACAGTAGTTGGAGCAGCCTTTTCGCTGAACAACGCATTACTTGAGCCCATGCAGTCGATTGAGCCCTGTTTACTAATTACAAAATCAACCATACTATCGTGTCGTTCCTTTCCGAGCTTGCCAAACTGCACCCAAGTAACGTGAAGGACGCTCGTGAACTGAGCAGGGAGTTGGCCCATGGCAACCAAACAGGAAGCGAGGAGTCCTTGCAAGATTCGATCAATCAACAGTGAATCGGCGGAGCAGAGAGAGAAACTCGGACCGGAACGCGTAATTGGCGCAATTGCATAATTCGATGCGACAGGGTGGCGGAGAACTTCTTATGTATGAATAGCGAAACTACCAAGAAACTTAACTGCACCATGGTTACTAGTTGTGACAGCATCACCACCACCGAATTGGCTGACTCTCAGACGTCCGTGTGTGACAAGAGCTCAGTGAGGGCCTGGAGCAATAGCTCAACTCTGCTAATAACAGTCTTTGACATCAAAGGATCTTGATTTTCTAAGAGGCTTAAGAGACCGGGGTCCTCTATAAATACAAGCAGTCGATGAGACTGTGCCCTAATCCCGTGATCGTAGCCCTCGTGTAACCGTGTGACATCGTGCTGCTGGAGCTTAATATTGGACGCTTATCTTGAAAAGACCTAGAAAGTTGCCAATGCCCGCCATTTAATGCGACTTTTAAAGACCACGTCTGTCGTACTCTTTAATACGTCCATTACGAGATCCCGACATGGAAAATCAAGGCTAAAGCCCCAACATGATTCGGTCCCGATCCTCACATGAATCGGCTGGTCCTAAAGGAGAATTCGCGCCAGGGTCGTCGAGGCGTCTGGAGAGCTCTTCCGCAGAACAGTCCAGGTAAGGATTTTCACCAAGAATACGCATGGCAGCAGCATCTCTCATCATGTCAGTGTGCGCGCTGTTGTCCTCGCCGCCAGCATGGTCGTACCAGAGGCGGCAAGGCCATTTTGCTGTCATAATATGCATCTTGGATGTAAATAGAGTGAAGCTGGACTTTCCAAGCTCCTTTGCTTATTGTGCAATATTCTTGCTAGGCCCGCGGTTGAGTCCGCCCGGGGAAGCGACAAGACTCAAAACCAGAGTGGAGTGCCCTCGAAAATGCGCACTTCTTTCAATGCACGAGTAGTGCGTCCTCTGCTCAGACAGGCCTTGTACATCTATATCTTGTTCCAACATTTGCACAGACTGGTGTTGGAGATGCGAACGGTCTCTGCCGCTAGAAGCTACGATTGAGAAAGAGTCACTATCAAGACATCTTTGCAACATGGGCCACCCGACTGAAATCTTGTAATTGACCTTCTCAGCTCTGGCAGGATACGTGTTTAGAAGATAATGATTAACCTCCACCGTACAATTCTAGAGTTTGGGAAAGCAGCGGAAGCCCAGCACAAGACTTGACATGGAGACGGTATGGAGAACGTAACTGGAAACACGTAGTCTTACAAATCCGCGCAATTAGGCTCTGCCTCTTGTCTATTGCTTTCGGGCTGCACAAATGAGCCACTTCTTCCTATAACTCTGGGGAATGCGTGTACACGTCACGTCTTCTGAGAAATCCAGTTGCGCCAGCTACGAGCCTTTGTTGTTCTCGTCCATGATGTCAACCGGACATGAGAGGTATCATTAGCTATCCGGCCAGAGAGTGTTCTTTTGTAAAATCATGATATTGTGGCTTCAACTCGTGTGCCGGGCTAACCCTGGCCGCAAAACTTAGCGTATCTCGACTGCTTCCGATGACGGTGGGTATGCGGTTAGCAAAGGATTGTAAAGTTTTCTTCGCCCGGCTAGTGCATTTTACACCTGCATTACGAGTTAAAGAACGCCATCCAACTATCAATCGTCATCACAACCAAAAAACAAAAAGCGCTACGGTAGATTTGGTCATCAACGTTGCTTATAATAAGTCGGCCTTCGAGCAATATTTCGGCTGGCGAGCAGAGGATCAATCCAGGTCATAAAGTATGAATCACTCATGGAGAGCCGCTTATCTCCATTTTACTGGTATTGTAGGTTTGTAGGCCCTGTTAGTGAAACGAGATATTTCACGACTTCCCTTGTCTACGGCAGGCTTCTTCCGAAGATCCGCGCTTGTAACTGCCGACAAATACTGTCCGTATCCCGTGCTTGAATTGGTGTTTGCAACCGATGACGGAATTACTGCAATCGCGTTATTACCCATGAGCGACTCGTTTAGATAGTTCAAATCTATAGCTTTGAAATGGCGGAGCGTCTGAGCCCCAATATGCAACGCGGTCTTCTCTGGGGCGGCTACAAGAGCAGGTATTACGTTACGGATATCTACTCGCGCCCTAAATCGTTCAATGTCCTTCCACCCCCAAGTCCACTCAAGACATCAATATATGTTGAAATAAAGAGAAACAAAGTATTAACAAAGTTTATTTTGAGTAGTTCAGGCAGGCTTACGTAGGAGTAGAGAAACAAAATACTTTCATTGCACGTTGTCCACTTGGCCAGCTGCAGTTGTGGCGCGGCGTGGAATATAACGAAGTCTAGATTTCCTCGAGAAGTAGCGTGACGACATGTTACTCCCTTTCGGGCCTCGTGTGGCCGTAATAGCCTTGCTTACGCATTGTTCGACGCTTGACCGGACCAGATCCAAGATTCAATCGACGGCACTGCATGTAACTGATTGTCTTTTTGTTGGTATTATGTCATCAAATTGGAGATAACACCGACATACTTTCTCTACCTGGAATATCACGTTGTCTCTCCGCAAGATTCATTGTAGCGGGCTCAGAAGATAGCACAGGAAGTATTATTAGCACGTATTGTTAGGCTTAAGTTAGACTTACCATCAAAAATAGCGCATAGTAAACTAAAATTGTTTAAATGATGGAAACGATTTTATTGTGCATTCAAAAGCAACCTCGTAGGTGCGGCGAATACAAGAACTCATAGAAGATTCTCCATTTGTCACGAACCTAGACTACCACGGGCTTATTCCAAGCGAGCTTGGACTAAAAGACGCTTGGATTGTCAATGAACCTTCAAGGGAGGTCTAAGTTGTACTCTGCAGAGAAACCGGCTTGAACTAGGCCCTACGGCCACGTCTACCCGAATCGGGAACAATTGAAGTCATCACCCTCCCCCCTAAACTCCTTTGTCCTTGCTGTCCAGATGTACTCGGAACCCCCAGGCTTTGGTATAAAGCCTCTTGAATCCCCCACACTTTCCTCCTTACTTCTTTTCCACAGGCAAGCAACAGCTCACTAAGACACAACAGTAGCTCTAGTGTAACTCAACTTACTTTTCCTTTGCTACGACGCCGTTGCTCGTCCTCACCTTTACGAATTCCATCCGCGCGTGGTATCGCGTCTACTTTTACGCCGCTTCCTGGACTTTACTAGATCTTGCGTCAGCCGCAGCAGTCAACCGAAAATGGCGTTTGTTTATACCATTATTGGCATGGGAAGCATGGTTGCCATGATGGCGGGTGCTGGTTTCTCCGTCGGTGCCGCTGTCATGGGCGCCATCTCCTTGACAGTAAACAGGCCCGTGATATTCAATCCGAACAACATCATCTACAGCTTCAAGCTGGGCCTGGATGGTGCCGGCACAAACGAAGGCTTCGACCCTCTCCGGGGCGCCGGCGGACGCGCCCCAAAAATACTGGTTTTCGACAACCAAGGCAAGCAGTTGGGCCAAACGAAAAAGCAAATTAAATGTGGCGACGGAGAAGATCACTGTGTGGAAGTGGTCAAGAAGATCAAGAAGCAGCCCTCCTACGCGCTGCTTCTTGGTCTGGAGAATCCCATATGCCTCGCTTCCGCCAGTGTCTCCTACCCTAGCGGAGACAGGTATGCATGGGTTGGAAACTGGGCACACACCTGCGACAAGCCATGGTACGTTTCAGACTTATCCTCCATAAGAGTATATCTGTCCTGACGTGAATAGGTACTTTTCCGACATTGACGCTCACCACGACAACGGCTCCGTCAAGCTTCTTTGCGCATGGTTGGGCCAGGATGGCTACAAGGAAAACTACTCGACGGGCATTCGAATCCATTTTCCCGAGTTCGCCAAGGGTTTTGCCGGCAATGGAAACAATGCTAGCTAGTACGTTTATCAAATCCTCTGCCAGAGTTTTATTTTCGTTTCCAAAAAAAAGAAAAAGAAAATTCAACTAATAACACGCCGCGTTCTTTAGCTACTGCCGGGACAACAACACCGCTCTTGCTTTCTACAACAACCAGAGCCCAAAGTTCTTCAACGGCGACAATGTGCAGGAGCATAAAGTCAATGAAAAGGACAAAAAGAACCAGAAAAAGAAGAAGGGCAAGAGATCTGCTGGTATGAAAGCCCCGTCTGTCCGGTCTCACCATGCTGCCCACTCGGCCAAGCTTTTGTGTGATAGTACGAGTTCCGTGGGCCCAACCCTTGTTTCTGTCCCTGAGCGATCCTTCTGTCACATGCCTGACAAGGTGCTTTACCGATTTTGCGAGGATGTAGCCGTTGGTGCCTGCTGGGACCACGAGGCGCATGCCTTTGCTGCCAAAGGGCCTCGCGCCATGCTTGCTCGGGCTGAATTGCCCGACATGGACTTTGAGGAGCCGACTGTCTGGGGAGGGAATTAGGCTTTGGTCACGACGATGGCGGTCTCTGTTTCCTTTTGTTTCTCGAGAATATACCCAACAGATTTTGCGTTTTGGTATTGCGTGTGGATTATGGGTTTCGCGTCAAGGTCTTTGCCGGCCATGATAGCGCCATGGTCAAATAATAGTTTGGTTTAGTTTTGTTTTTGTTTTTAATCATAGTTTAGTTTTGGCTTTTTTTTTAATAATATACTTGAATAGTACCTTTTCCTGTTCAAGACGGGAGTGATGCTCACTTCGACATTTAGCCCAGGGATGGCATTGATTGCGACCGTGCGCCACCAAAGCCGCTTGGCGCTATATACAGAACTACTAACCACATAAGCCTCAAGGCTCGACATTGACAAGCCTAGGTGTAATTCTAGCCCTCTCCTTAACCCTATGGCTGCGATGCTAACCCATCCAACTCCAAACAGAGGGCCCATCGTCGCACAGATCCATCGAAGGCGCGCATGATGTGGTCATCGCGCCCATCATGTTACACACCACTCTAGCAATGAAGAAGATAATGCCTGTTCACAGCTTGCTGACTCCTGAAGGATGCGTCATCATTTTAGAGACTGTCCACAATGACTGTCATCGAGTCAGACTGCCCACGGCAAGTCTTCCATGCTCGTGGCTCTGCGCGGAGACTGGCTGTCACTGGGCGAGACCCCAAGTGAGTGTTTACAGGCTGTATCAGAACGTCTGTCTTATTCAATTACATTGCCTTGGCTCGAGATAATTGCTCGCTACACCGGGCCTCGGCTGAGTCCATTACTGCGCACAGAATTGGACGATCCGCCCACAAAAGTTTTAAACCATCTAGCGCCCAAGTATCAATATTCCCTACCTAGGAAGGCAACGAAGGTGGCCAAGGCCGATAACCCTTGCAGCTACATATACTGCCTTCAGCAACAACAACAACACTAAAGCTGATGAATATTTTCGATGTATTCATGGCAGATGAGACCATGAATACTACGCGCATCTTGAACACTCCCCTGGAGTTAAGGCGGCTTATATCCGAATAGGACGTGGCTTTACGCGACGTAGCTCTCTTTAGCTAGTGTCAAGTCATGCAAATAGGGCTCATAATTGCCAAACAGGACAGACAAAGTGAAAGAATGAGTTAACCTTGACAGCCGTTACCTTGAAGAGCGACTTGATCTAGACGTACTACCATTGTAGCGACGACGAGCATGGCATGGCTCTGTCTAACAATAAACTCGGTGCTCGAAGGGTGAACAAGTTTGTTTTTCAAGCATGTCACGCGTTGAGCTATTGTTCAATTTCGTTCTCCTCCACAGCCGGGGAGCATGAGTTGAGTTGCAAATAGACTGGTAAAAGATCAACCGTGGTACTGAATACAAAATAATCAGTGCAGTATTACTTACATCGCCGCCTGTATACGTGTCGGGTCTGATGAAGCACTACACAGAGGGGTCGAATAATCCAAATAGCGCTCCTCAATACAACAGCTTCGGCACCGCCTGCAGAGACCATGGTACGCTGGTATCCCGTACTGGCATAGTAACGACTGCTAACCTTGTGCTCGGCAGCGGTTCTGGTTTCGAACTCGTCTTCTCCAAGCAACTGCCCGGCGGATCAAGGACGATTGTGGCAATGTCTTTCGTCTCCAACTTATCCCATGAACTATAAGCCAAATCATAGGCATAACTCGCCGACTGCTTCCGTCGCCATTACGTGGCTTGGTTGATAACTTGTTCCCCGAATGGAGTCTGCCATCTCGGCTTGTTTTAAAGGTATGCAAGGACGGCTGGGGTGAGAAATTTGAAAATGAAAAGTCAATATACCATCAGATTAGAGATCTTCAAGAATTGTAGTCCCCAAGTGCTACGGTGAGTGTTATTACAATGACACTAGGGCCCTGCTGCTATCAGATATCGGTGGCGAATGTGTGGGAAGTCCTGCAGGAGCTATAGTAGAGATGGATGGATTCCGCCGAATGATGCGCGCGGCTTTGACTGATATGGCCAGGTTTGGCGTATTGCCGGATGATATAAGGCTAGAGAATTTCCGCGTCGTTGGCAATAGGATCATGGTTGTGGATTTCGAGATGGTACGCAAACTCGACACTCAGGACGACGTTGACGAACAAGTGACGTCTATGACGGGATTGGTTGGCTCGTTTGTATCAGGATAAGCAGCGATGCTTCTTGGACGATGGCTTAATTGAGCCAGAGAAAGAGAGGGTGGATCAATGAGACTTGGCAACGTTAATTAAGATTCTTTCCTGAAACCAATTCGCACACACTTTTGGCATATTGGGAAATGCGGGGAATTTTTATCATTACAATCGTGCTCTTTCTGTTGGTACCGTATCGCCGTCTTCACGGAGTTATTGTAGGTTTCGGTGGGAGAGTGTCGGCCTAGATATTCAGACTTCCTTGTAAAAGACTCCATACAAGTAATTCATGGGTCGTCTTTTTTCGGGAGCCACGTGCGGCAACACCTCGGGCGTTACAAATTTTGCTACAGCTATCCAACATGTCGAAGCCATGTCATGGAATGACCCGCAGCATTTGTCCTGCCTAATTTGCTCCATATCTCAAGTATAATTGCCTCGGACCACAATGCTCTTTTAGGAGTTGCGGAGGCATGTAGTCCTTTTAAATCACAGGCCCAAGTTGTCCGATACGTCTTTATAATACGTAACCTCGGAGGCGCCGCCTGTGCGAAAGTCAACTGCCAGGGAGGCGACACGCGACGCCAAAACCGGCAGTGGCAGCACAGGGGATGAAAGCCGCTGCTAGCTAGAGCAATCCCGGACTCACAATTATCCATGCTTCCGGTTGCCTAGGTAGAGCTGCGCCTGTTGCCCCCAAGTCCGGGACAGTTGAAGCTACATGGGTCGGACCGTAGTGGGTTTCAGAAGGCCATCTGCATCAACAGTTCCGTGTGAGTCATCTGCATTAACGGTTCCGGGTGACTCCTAGAGATCGTGGGTCCTTCTGCCGTGGATCGACTTTGGGTTGTTCATCGGCACTCGCAAGTTTCCATACTTGATAAATAATAGGGGTATGGCCCTTGTAAACCGGCGCGTGGCGCATAAACCAGTCCATCCTCGAAGCATCCTACTTTGATTCAACAATGGAAGTTCACCCAGAGTAGTTTGTGACACGACCGGGCGGCGTGAAGGTGTGCTACCAAACATTTGGACGGAAAGAAGCGACACCGTTGCTGCTGCTCTCTGGCGGTGCGCAATCCATGTTGTGCTGGCACGAGGACTTCATTTCAATGGCGGATAAACAGTTGGGAGGCTCTTTCATCATCCGATTCGACTACCGAGACACTGGAACATCTACAAATTTCCCCCTAGGAGAAGCGGCTCACTATTCCATAAACGACTTGTGCGACGATGCCGTCGCTATTCTAGACGAATTGCGCATCGAGTCCGCCAACCTCGTCGGGTTCAGTCTCGGAGGCGCCATCGCATGGGTGATTGCTTCTCAGCATCCGCAGCGCGTGAGAAGCGTCTCTCTTTTCTCATCAAGTCCTGTCGGCCCATTGCCATCTGGCCAAGACGCCCTTCCGCAATGGAACTCCGAGCTCAGCGCTCAGCGCGCAACGGCGCCTTTCCCCAGCGATTGGCAGAATCTAGACATGGTCACGGACTTTCTGATGTTCTGCGTCGACTGTACTTCATTTCCCAAGTCCGAAGGTGCTGAGCGCGAGGAAATATACCGTAGACAGACCATCGAGTTTGCGCGCGTCTCCAGGCAGGGCAATAGTGTGCAGAGCATTTTTAACCAGAGTGCAGCTGTATCTGGACGCTAGCCAAGAGAGTTACTGCGCGATGTCAAGTGTCCCACCACTATCGTGCATGGCCGAGAGGATAGGAATATTCCTTTGGCGCACGTCGAGGCCCTGAAGGAGGAGATGAAAGGGTCCAAATCGGTGGTTGTTGAAAGCATGGCGCACGAGATGCCGAAGCGGGAATGGTCCAGATCTGCACACGAGATTGCTACCACGTGTATCTAGCTTACTGTCTCGACTCTCGACGCCTCGTCCGTTATCTCCTCTGCTCTATATGCCACGCAGATGTTGCACGAGGACTACGATCACGAGACGTAGGGTATGAGGCTCTCACCGACTTCTTGTATAGACAGCGCTCTGTAGTCATCTTGGCCTTGAAAAAAACCAAGCGCGTTTAATACCAAGGACTATTATTGGGTGAATTGAGATATCACTTCAAGCCCTCTCCGAGCCATTGTCGCACTATTCCTGGGCCGTCCAACAGCCTCACCCGGGTGAACTATCGTATGGGTGGCTCCAGAGAAGAAGCCTACGACAATTGCGCCGCAGACATTAGGTTTATCGATGCTGTGAGTCTAATGCTGCATGAGACTGTAGTAATAGCTCTCTGTAAGTTACGTTCTTGTCGGACGCTTATTCATAAGCAGCAATAACAGTACTATGGATATTATAAAGTATAATACATCGCAAAAGTGCCTTTCCACTTATCAGATGGAATTTCATATACAAGTGAAGCTTGCTTTCCCCCCTTCTTTCTCAGACCTAGACAGACAATAAGAAGGCGGCTGTTTGTTGAAAAAACTCCAGTCGAGCCTTTTGGAATAAATGCTTCCATAGTACTAGATTAGAGAAAGAACAGAAACACGAGAATGACGTAGGTGTGAGGAAAAGCTTACTCAACAACATCTGTTTAGAAACAGCTGGTGCAAGCTCGCGATTTTCAAGTACGGCTAGCAGGACCTGGTTATTTTAGAGTAGCGAAAGTGAGTGTCACTTGCCGCAAGGAACTGTCTTCTTGTCAGTTCCGGTCTGCCTATTGACTCTCAAGATTCCTCTTTCGGCTTACAATGTTGTGCAAGTCAGTCATTACGTCAAGCTGTGACTGACAGTTGTTGTTCTCCAACTTTTACCTCATGGCTTGCATACCGCCTATAATATCGACACCAGGGAGCAAGTACTCTGGTGGAGGATTTTTCAGGAGCTCTGCAGTGCTGTGGAATTCGATGTATGGCTGTAGGTAGCCCAGAAGGTCGAGGTTATCCTTTTGCCTGACCGGGAGTGATTTGCGACATGCAGTTCCCATAGACGGCCGTAGGTCAGGAATTATAGGCTTATCGGACGTCATGGCTCTCGGCGAGACGGAATAGAGGGTGAAGGGTCTGCAGAACACGCCACCTCGCACGGGGCGAATTTGCGTCCGACAAAGCGCGTATTCTTCCGGCAGTCAAGGGCTATAGAAGCTATTTTAGCTGAAGATTTCGGGAAGCTAAATAAAAAAGCAGAATAAAAGAGGGAGGTCAATGCTGTCTTTCGAGCAAACCTCAAAGCGGCCGACTCGCAAGGCCTAACTAACGCCCCTGTCTAGGGTGTAAAAGGTCCACGGGTACCCGTGTGGGTTGCTTACCCGTGGGCTTTAGGTAGGTAATAGGTAGGTAAAAAAGACCTAAATAGATTTATAGGGGAAAATAGAGTACTTATAATTATTTATTAAGAATATTAGGTGTTTTTAAGTACTTAAATAAGACTGATATAACTTGCTTTATACTTTAAACTTAAGACTTATTATAAATATAATTAAATAT